CAATACATTTTTGCGGACTGGCTCCAGTTCCACGGACCAGTGGTTGAAGACCACTGGTTTAGAGTACTTGTGAACATAATTTTTGTTTTTGGTGGTTTAAAACAAACCCTTTGTTTCCATTGAACTCATCTAATGCAAATGATTATTATTTTCCCTTATTTAACTTAACCTTACTAAACAGAAAAACATTACTAGACTTGTACATTCAATTTTGGCTGAATTACAATTCATCCAAATTTAGGCCAATCGGCTGTTTGGCTAAATTCCGTATCTCAGAAGTGCCATTCTGATATAACCAAGTAAATGACTAGAGCAATGTTCATTTGATTCAATAGTCAGAGTTCGGCCTAAGGTTCCAAAAAAAGGATGATTGATGGTAGCAAAGATTATTAATATCTTATGAACATTAATTAAATGATTATTCCATTTACTTATCAAGGGAGAAGTGATTAATGGAGGGAAAAATGAGGAGCAATAAAAAAAACAAAAAACCTATATAAAAGCGTACATAATGTACTAAATAAATATATATAAAATATAAATAAATACATGTTGATTGTTCATTACTCCTCTTGTTCCCTCATGTTAAATGTTAAAAATACTCATGTTATTTATATTATGTGTTAATATATTTATTTTTTCAGTACACTGATTCACCCACTTTCAGGCCTTTTTTGTTCAACCAAATTATTCAACCAAATTATTTTCCTGAAAATTTTTCACGGACGCAATTTGGACAAGCCAAACACTCAATGCAATGAGTGTCAGAATTCCTAACTAAATTCAATTTTTGGAAACAATGGTTCTCCCGAACAATATGTTCCTACCATGCACTCTAAATTAAAACTTTTATAATTTACAAAAAAATATGGTCTTTACAAAAATTTTGTTTTTTGTAAGGAAGAATAAAACTAGTACAAAATAAATGGATCTGCAATGGCGCCTTTCAGGCACAATCACGTGTCTGTACCTGATTGGCGCAGCTTCAAGATAACTCACATACCTATTTCGTGGTGGATCACTACCCGATTCTTGTGTGTTGCAGCCCCTGGCCAGAATGGTGTCCTAAGGGACATTGGCTGCTACATTCCCACACTGTCTTATAGACCCACCTCAGACCATTACAAATATGATGCCAAAGTGCGTGCGTTGTCGTGTCATTGATGCGTACTCACATTTTGGGGTCATAAGGTCAATTCTGATCAATTGCCTTCTTGCTTTTTCAGTGTCCTGTTGTGGTTTTTTCTTGTTGGCTATTAGAAAGTATGTTCATCTTATGATTCTTTTGGTATTTTGACTTTGGCTTGTTCTTGACTATCCCTATTTTTGGTATCCTTGATTTACTGGCTTGACTCCTCATTTTTGTCTCATTTTCTACCCCTGAACTCGACTTGTTCTTGACCTATTTTTATTACGTTAAGTCCAGCAACTCTAAGGCTTGGTAATACATATATTTCTTATATTTCACATTATTGTCTTGTTTACTTAAATACTGCGTCTTGGGTCATATATTATCCTGACAAGATCTACATCAATTGCTCTGATGGATACCTGTACATCAATCAAACAGAAGGAACACTTGTTTATCCAAATAGCATGTACTGGAGCACAATTATACCATTTATTCAAGCAAGTCACTCTCTTTTATGTATTTCTGGATGAAGTATGATGACAGTACATAGAGGAAGATAAGTCTTTTTGTAACCTTAAAGCTCTATATTCTGGCTATAGTTCGACAATTTTCAGGAGAAAAATAAGCAATTTTATTTTTTGTTATTTGTTCTTTTATTATTTAGTTATTTGTTATGTCACACTATGGTTTATAGATTGATATCCTATCATGATGCACAGTCATGGATCTGATTAAGCTAAGATTGGTAAAATAAGAATATACGCATTTGCAACACACATTTCTCACAAGCATGCCAAACAGAAATTGTCTGTGCATGCTATAAAATTGTCTTTTTGGTTGTCAATGCATTTTTTGCTCACAGTGGAACTAGTATCAGTAAAATCATTGTGGAAAGGTATACATGACTTACATATATGTGTAGATATAATCAATATATACCTTTTTTAAATTGTATTTTTCTGAATTTGTCACCATAGAATTGTCCTTTCTTGAGATCAAAGAAACGTTTGTTTCTGCCTAATCCTTCCAGATAACATGATTTAGTTCTAGTATCTCAAATTATTTACTGAAATATTGGTTTACATTGATTATAATACCAGAAGTGTCCTGACAACCCCCTACATTGTAAGGAATCAAAAGGATTTAGAAATTTAAATAGTCTCAAATGGACATTCCATTAGTATTCATTTTCACAAAATTAACAGTAAACAAACTAATGATGTGCATACTTTATATAATTAATATGCCTAAAAATGCAGGAGACTTTATGAATATTTGCAATTTGTTCATTCTCAACGTTTAAAATAATTATCTGCATGAGCATATTGCCTTTAGAATTTAAAATCAGAGATTCGCAGAGCTGCAAATCTGGCCTCAAACTGTAAATTTCCAGGTAAATTCTTGCACAGACTTATGGAAGTCTAAATTGGGCCTTATAATTATTCATAGTCTAAAAAAGGCAAAGCTATGGGACTGTAAATAAAAGCACCTGTGTAAGTATTGTTTTTTTGTTAGGTGTGCATGACTAGTGAAAGGAAATTAAATAATGTGTTCCTACATACATGAGTTACAATCATTGCTACCAAAACTACCGTGCACTTTATAGCCTATAGCATCATATTGTTTCACTCTGATAGTAACTAATGAAAAGTGTTCTATTGTAAAGGAAAATTAAATTGTGAAACTATATGCTATGTTGCAGTCTAACATTAAAACTGCAACATATACATAAAAACAATTTAGAAAAAATATACAAAGTCTATATCTAAAAAAATTGCTCATCTTCAGGGTGACAATTTTAAAAGGAGATGCAAAGTGAGTAAGATTGGATAAATATTAGTAGTTTTTGTCACCTAGAAAATAGTTCTGACACTGAACCTTTTGCGACATTAATTTTCAAAGACGTATTACGCAGATAGGAAAAATCTATGCCGTTAATAAAATTAAAAAAAAAACCTCATAAGCCATGAATAGTAGTGATTGCATGCCACAGCTCACTTACAGAGTCAGATGAACAGGATGTATGCCTCAAAAACAGGTAGGACAATGTATCAAAGTATTATTTTCTAAAATGTCATCTAAAGTACTATGGTTGTGTAAGTACTATAGAAACCAGTGGAACCAGCATGGACATTTCATTTGTGACATTTTTGCAACACTTTTAGAATGGAAGACTTTGATAAATCTCCCTTGTAGGCTTTAATCTTTGTACATTGCTGCACAAGGGTGGGATTGATGCCAGGTTTGCCATTTTGAAATTATATGTAAAATGGAAATGCAATCAAAATTGTGTATCAATATATGATGTCTGATGATGTATATGATATATAAGAACACAATAAAAAAAAACTATTTAAATTGTAATAGGATCTAATCTGATAAATATTTCACCTAATTTGAAGACAGCTAACAAATACCTTCAACAAGCAACCCGTGGAGCCAACTCCTGATCTTGATGGTGATCTGAAATAAATATATATATATATATATATATATATATATATATATATATATATAATGTAGGAGTCATTACAGTGGCTGATTTCAGTCATATAAAGAACAATGAAATTGAGGATTTTTACAACCTCTTGTGACTGTGATGTTCTTATATTATAAGATTGCCTTATTTTGGATCAACAGCAAAAATATATGTGAGAAAGACTGAACTTGATGGATGCAAGTCTCTTTTCAGCTATGTAACAATGTAACTGTAACGGACCATTTCTCTCACAAGGGGATAAAATCGGTTTAGGCAATAATCCCCTTTCCCATAGACCAGCAGCTACTGCAATCACCAACCTCCTGAACTCCAAACTGCACGTATTCACCAACTCTCGAACAGCAGACACAGGAACCCTGGAAGCAGCCGAACAGGAAAAGCAATACAAACGGCTTACACTCCTGGCAGTCAGCACACAATCCAATTCCCCCAATAACGAGACGACACTTCGTTTTGAGGGTTAAGCAGAATCTCTAGATTTATTCACACAGCCTCCTTTTAAGACATTCTCCCATGCAAGGGAGGGATCCACAACAATTAGTACCCCAGCCAATAATGTACCAGTTACCTCCCACACATCTCCTCCCCTTAGTGTGACACATAATCCCATTAGTACAGACACAAATTCCCTGGGATACTGGATGTACCCCTAAACATAGGAATACCCCTTTAAATGTTACATCCCCTGGTAACCCTGATCTGGGTGAGACACATATCCAAAAATCACCCAGATCGGACCAGGGGTTCAGGAATTATAAAGGGTTAAAGTTTTGACCGACTGCATGGCAAAAGTATCCGAAAATAGTTCCATGTACTTTGGCCCTGCAGTCGGTCACAGAAAAGGGAATGAATCACACGAATTGCCTGGGTTATAGAGCTTGGGGAGGATTCGTATGAATCCCCCTGTTCGTGGGATCCTTTCTACCGAACGGCGGGCCGTTCGGTAGTTTCTGCACGAATTGCTGGAAGTCTGGAGGTCTCAGCGGTGTTTGCTTAGTCGAGTGTCCGATTTTAGTTCCAGACACTCGACGGCAAAACACCGCTGTTCGGGAGTTTAAGATGGCCGCCGCCACGTGTTCGTTTCCCGAATGGCGGCCACCCAGAGGACACAACACATATTACACATATTGCCAATTACCCGTTTGCAACATTGTTGCAAACGGTAATTGGAGGCACACTTACTCCCGGGTGGTCTGGTTGTTCGGTAGTTTCACCCAATATAATGAATGAAGTGATTCTACCGAACAATCAGGGGAATGCTGCATTCACATAACACTTTATACCGAACATATAATATTAAATACAGCCTGAATGCAATTTGCTACACAGTCTTAAAAAGGCATTATTCCTAACAGGCAGAATATGTTCACGGATGGCCCTTAAAGGGCCAGTAGCAGCAATATAAGAATGTCACATGCCCAAATATTGCATACAAAAGTACGAATTCACAAGGGGCCATAGTCAGTTGGCAGGAGGCTGGCAACCAGGCTTCTCCAGTGCACAGTGGCGAGGTTGGTTTCGCCACAGTAACTATGAAAGATAATGCTGGTTGTTCCTTGAAGTTAAGCACTCGCTTCAGCTGTCACATCAACCCTTTAACTATGTGACTCTAGTATGCATGATTCTGAAGGTATGCACTTATACCCTGGAATCATGTACATGATTTTTAATATTGCAAATAAAATGTATTTGTAATTTTTTTTTTGCAATTTGTCCCTTGTGGGATCCCAGACCTGGCACTACCATTAGAGTGCTGGGACTCCAGAGGGCCTCTTGCAGGTGCCTGGGATGGCAGGGAAATCTCAAGATGCTTGTGACCAGCTGCATGCAGCTATCACTGAGTGCAGATCCCAGCTGATGTTCCATCCCAGTTACTGAACAAAATGGTAGTATTGTCAGCTATCTGATCACACTTGCAGACCAGTAGCTCAGCTCAGTGGACCACTTGGCCAATGGGCTACCAGGGAATGAGATTAGAGTATCCTTTATAAAGAGATTTTCTTCAGTGATAGCCGCCATCACCAATATGACACGCAAGGGGGCTAGTAGTACGATATGCTCTAAGGAGGCTATTGAAGCCTTTGAAACTCTCAAACAGTGGTTTGCCTCCGCCGACATATTGATACATCCTGGCACCAGTAAGTCTTTCATACTGGAGGTTGATGCTTCAGAGACAGGGGTAGGGGCAGTTCTCTCCCAGAGGGAGAGCAAGGAAACTCTGTTACATCCTTGTGGTTACTTTTCTAGACAGTTGTCTCCTGCTGAGCGCAATTATGATATTGGCAATAGTGAATTGTTGGCCATTATACTAGCTCTCAAGGAGTGGCAACATCTTTTAGAGGGTTCCAAGGACCCCATTTGATCATTACTGATGACACAAAAACCTGGCTTACATAGGAGATGCTAAGTGATCATCTTCTAGACAAGCTTGGTGGTTTCTATTTCTTTCTCGCTTTAATTTTCTTATCACTTATAGACCTGGTTCTAAAAATGTCAAGGCTAACCCCTTGTCCAGGCAGTTGTCCGCAGGTCACCCAGGTATTAATAAATCCACTTCTGCCATCATGAGGTCATTCTGGTGGGATTCCCTCAGGAAGGATATTAAGGAATATGTGCAGGCTTGTTCTGTTTGTGCGGTTTCCAAAGTGCCTCATAAACCCCCTTGTGGCTTGTTACAACCTCTTCCCACTTGTTACAACCTCGCCCCACTTGTCCATGGACTTCATTGTTAAACTTCCTAGTTTTTCTAAAATGACTCATTTTATTCCTCTCAAGAAATTGCCGTCATCTCAAGACCTGGTACTAATCTTTATACGAGAAATTGTCCGTCTGCATGGCATTCCTCACAATATAGTATCTGACAGAGGTTCTCAGTTTGTGTCTCAGTTTTGGAGGCCTTCAATAAACAATTAGCGATTGAATTGTCTTTTTCATCCTCTTACCACCCCTAGATCAATGGTACAGCTGAGAGGGTTAACCAGTCCTTGGAATTATATTTGTATTGTTTCATTAATAGCACTCAAGACAATTGGTCTGAATTACTACCATGGGCTGAGTTTGCTAGGAACAATGCTGCCCATGACTCCTCTGGGCATAGTCCATTTTTTGTTAATAATGGCTGGCATTCTACTGTCCTACCAGCTGTTTTTTCTGATACGGCTATTCCTGCTTTGGATGACCATCTTGCTTCCATCCGTGATACCTGGGTTAAAGTTCAATCTGCTCTGGGTACTGTTGCTGAACATTTCAAGCATTCTGCTGATACACGTCGAGGTGCCAACCCTGTTTTCCAAGTGGGTGAGAGGGTTTGGTTACCTTCTCGTAACATCAGGCTCAAAGTCCCTAGCATGAAATTTGCTCCTAGGTTCCTTGGACCTTTTCGTGTCCTTCATAGGATCAATCCTGTTGCGTACTCTCTGGCCCTTCTGGCCTCCTTGAAAATTCCAAATACCTCTCATGTGTCCTTGCTCAAACCTCTTGTTTTCCATAAAACTTCTGTCTCAAGTGTCCCTCCTCCTCCCTTAGTTGTTTCTGGACAGGAAGAGTATGAGGTCTCCTCCATAATTGATTCCAGGTTTTCTCGGGGCACTTTACAGTACTTGGTGGATTGGAAAGGTTATGGACCAGCCGATCGTTTTTGGGTCCCGGCATCTGATATATATGCTGGCCGCACAATTCACTATTTTCACGCCAAGTTTCCTCTGAAGTCTGGTCTTGCCTGCCCGGTGGGCGTTCATCAGGTGGGGGGTAATGTCACATAGTCATCCGCTTATAAAAATGTGATTAATGGCATTTACTTTTCAGACAGGAAAAGTTGGGCTGAGCAACATTTCTGTCCTGACAGGAAAAGTTGTACCAAACAAAAATCAATCCACAGGAGGGTTTGTGCTGAGCAGCAATCATGCAAATAGGAACCTAGTAACTGCCTTTGGGGTCAAAGGCCGGTTACAACCAATCAGATCCACAGGTGGGGTATTTAGGCCCAGTATTTAGGCGCGTTATTGATTCTGGTTATTCTGGTAATTTGACTTTGGCATTGATTTTGACTTCCCTGTTTTCTGGCATCCCTGACCCCTGGCTTTTCCTTATCGCTGTGTCTCTTTCTGTGTCCCTTGACCTCGGCTATTCCTGACTATTCTTTGGTACGTTAGTATGTACGTTAGTATTTTGGTATGTGTTCTAATTTTATACGCCAAGTTTTCTAATGATAGTACAAACAGCAGGGGAGGCAGGGGACACCCCTATCTGGTCCCATTTGTGATGTGAAATGATGTAGATCATGCATTAGACACTCAGGCTGTTGGGTTGTTATAGAGGGCCATAATACCCTGCACAAAGGTGGGGGGGGGCAAAAAGTGATAACAGCTGGGTCATGTAGCTCCAGTTTAGCCTGTCGAAAGCATTCTCAGCATCTAGTGCAAGGAGAAGGCCCCCACTTTGTTCCAAATTCAAATGTGACAGAATGTTTAGTAGTTTCCAGGTGTTATCTTAACCCTGTCTGTGCTTGACAAAGCCAGTTTGGTCGCTGTGTGTAAGTGACGGAAGGATTTTAGACAGTCGGCTCGCAAGAATTTCCGCGTATAATTTTACATCACCATTTAATAAGGAGATGGGTCGGAAGTTCTGACACTGGGTAGGGGCTTTACCTGGTTTGGGGAGTGTAGATATGTGGGCTCCAAGCATCTCACTCGGTATTCTTCCCTTAGAGTAGCATGTGTTAAATAAAGTTGCTAGATGTGGGGTGAAAGTATTGATGTACGTCTGGTAATAGTTGTTTGTATAACCATGTTTTGGTATCTGGCGTATTGCTTGTTTGATTTCTGTTTCATCGTAGGGTGTTGAAATGTGGTCAATGTCTGTCTGGGTAAGTTTATGTAGCTGTACGGTTGAGAGAAAGTCTTGGGTAGATTGTATAGTGGGTGGTGTTATCTAGGGGTCATCTTTGATGTTGTATAATTTGCTGTAGTAAGACACAACTTCGTTAACAATGTCCTGTAGGTTCATGGTTTTGGAATATTTTTTTGCTTTAAGGTATGCTATTCTGGTGGTGCGTGTTCTTACCTTTAGTTGCGAAGCTAGCAATTCCCCTGCTTTATTAACAAACATTGGCATATACTCAAACATGATGAGATACTTAACTCTATCATACCCATCCATCCTAATATTGTTTTTAGAGGAGCACCCAATTTTAAGTCTATTTTAACCAGAAATTTTACCAAAAAATCTCCTTCTAATAATGTATCTTTCTTTCCTCAGACAAAAGGTTTTTATAGATGTAAACAATGCATTGTATGTAAAACCACCGATCATTCTATCCCATCTAAAATTACAAATTTTATGTCAAATAGGACCAAAAAAGTGTACAATATAAATGATTTTATACGTTGCAATACAAAAAATGTTATTTATCTGCTCGAGTGCCCGTGTGGCCTCCAATATGTGGGGATGACCACAAGGTGCCTAAAGATAAGATTGAGCGAACATTGCAGAAA